GTCAGTTGTGTCTCCAGTGGGTTCCGCTCTGGTCGGGAGCTGGCGTCTGGATTGTCACAGCTACTGTTGTTGTTGTCGTGGTCGTTGTTGTTGTTGCTGCTGCTGTTGTTGCCGTTATTGTTGCTGTTGCTATGGCTATTGCTGTTGCTTTTGTCGTCGTTGCTGCTGTTAACGCTATCATTTTTGTAGTTGCTGTTGCTGTTGCTGTTGCTGTTAACGCTACTTTTCTTTTTGTTGTTGTTGCTGCTGCTGTTGTTTTGGCAGCTTTCATAAGCGCTTTCTACAGACCTCTCGTCTCTCTTGTTCTTCAATGACACATCTCTGTCTGCACATGTTCTAGAACGTTCCTTGTCCTTTCTCTCCCTCGACACGTCCGTCTCCCTTCTCATGTCATCCATTCTGTTTGTTCTCATTTCCTCTGTCACTCGACTGTCTCTTTTCTCCACACTCCCTCGTCTGTCTCGGCTATCAACGGACAGTTCTGGGTATCCATTTCTTACAGAACTTCCCCTATCTCTACTGACGGTAGATATCTGGTTATCGTTTTTCTCTCTTAGAATTAAGCTATCTCTGTTGTACAAATCCTTCTCTCTGTCTCTAAAACCCCCTGCATTTCTTTCATCTCTGAGCTTATCTCTATCTGTATTACTCACCGACTCCCCTCTGCCGAAATTCTTAAAATTCTCCACATCTTTCAGAGGTGTAATAACATTATTAGAATTGTCATAGCCCAGGCTATATATGTCAGCCTTTTCGGAGTCTACAGTGACTTGTCGCTTTATGCTGGACCTCCTGGGGTAGTCGAAAGATTCGTCTGAGGTGAGTCTCCGTCTGTGAGAGATAGGCGGAAGATCTCGAGGCTTTTCCAGTCCGCCATCGACGGAAGTCTCCGAACGCAGCGAGAGGATGTCGACGTTTCTCTTCGGCAGCGCTCGGGGAATTCTCGGAGACTCTGCTTCGGAATCGAAAGAGATTTTTGTGGTGCTTGTCGGTGCTCCGGATTTTCCCATTGTTCCCAAAAAAGAACTGATGTTTGCTATGGCGTCTTCGACAGCCGAGCCTCGTCGGTCCGATGAAGATGGTGGGTGAAGAGCAGACGTTTTATTTCTGATCTGTTCGCCCTTCTCGTGTTTTGAGTGGCTTGACGTTTTGTGTGTGTTGTCGGCTTCCGGAGTGACCTTATACTTCACCGAAGAGTCACCAATCTCCGAGTCGACAGTCGCCACTTTCGGTCTGTCCTTTGTAGAGTCTGCACCAGATCTGTTGGAGGTTGGCACGCTAGTGGAGTGTGACGTACCTATCTTGTCTGAGACTCTGAGGCTCGTCGTGTCGTGGCGTCTCAGGGTATTAACCTTTGACCTCTCACGTAGACGGCTACCGTCATCGGGTATGTGGTCATGCTCGTGTTCTTCCTCCACACTCGGTAACCTCGGCCGTCCATCGTTTGAGTCTACGTGACTGGATTTGGTCAGTTTACTTTTTCTAATGACGTCCATAGCCAACTTCCTCTGAGCCTCGCTCTGAGGCTGAACTTTAGAACGCTGCTGCTGCTGCTGTTGTTGTTGAGGGTCACGCCTTCCTGTGACGTCATTTCCGCCACTCCTGCTATTTTTAGAAGTGCCGCGAAATCTCTCCGAGGCTTCGTTCACCAGAATCACCCCGGCCGGTTTGGAACTCGTCGACGGCCCCGGATTAGAACTCTTCAACTGTCGCTCCAAATTCTTCCTCTGGGAAGCCATCTTAACGGCTGCGTCCACAGTGAGAGACATCCGTTTTCCCTGGAAGTTGGACCCAGCGTTTCCAGCACCTCCTGTGGTCTCGCCACTTCCTCCTCCTCCTCCTCCTCCCTTCTGACGGTTTCTCTCCATGATGGAGATCATCCTGCTCCTGGCCTCCGCCTTCTTGACCACGTCCATCTTGTTGAGCCGGTTCCTCCTCGTGAAGTCCGCCACGTTGCAGAAAGCCCCGAGCAGATACCCCCCGGCAGAGCCGATCACGGCGTAGCGCGACCAGCCGATGCTCATCCACATCACGCCTGGCTTGTCTTCTTCCGTCAGGTCGATCTGGTACAGGGTCAAGGTCGCCCCCAGCGTGCATGCTGCAGGGATAAGGAAAGATCAATGATTGTAAGATGAGGTGAGTATTGAGTAAAGGGACACAACGACGCATTTGCTTCTGATGATCTCCGTGCTGGGGTCTGGGATACGGAACGTTCGGCTGTGAGCAGTGCATACGGCTGTTTTAGACTACATCGACACTATAACAACCACGATGTAATGCAGAGTAGATGCATGACAGGCATAAACAGAATGAAATAAAAGAAGTAGTTCCTACTAGAGGCTCCCCCCAAGCACCCGCAGATGAGATAAGATTAACTAATGTATCATGAAATGAGATCAAGTGCAAGATGATATGAGATCAAATGTAAGATGATATGAGATCAAATGTAAGATTATACGAGATCTAATGAAGAGTGATTTACCAAAACGTTCCCAAACTCGGTAAGTCGGTTTTTCAATTATTGGTGAAAACTCGTCTCATTGGAGGAATGAGCAGCTGATCCACACTCTGCATAATAATTATATGACACACAAAAACTAGCTTAGTTCATACGAGTGGTACACAAGAAGCTACCCTTGAATATAGGTGAATGGAACTGAGGAAGTTAACTATGCTTACAGATACTTAGTTATGTTATGAATGACAAATAAAACGTTACCAATGAACACAAGTGAATGGATCTGACGAACTTACATATGTGAGGCAGCGTGGTGGAATCAGGCTCTCGTCAATTTCTGGGCATGTAGAGTTATTGGTATCATCCTAAAGCTTGTGTACTTGTCTTTAATTGGATGAAAAAAATATCCATTATCACGAATACAAGTCGAGATATTTGCGAAAGAAGGAGGTGTTGGTAACCTGTTTTCAGAGGTAAAATTAGTGAGAAAATGGCCGCCAAAGATTAGTTATTTCCTTAGCTTAAGAGTCCATGGTAACTGAAAATTTACATTTTTTTTGACTTTAGTCAACGCTTTTCTGAAAAATCCCCACTGAAATTAGTTCTTTAATGGGCATGAAAGGTGTTGTGACAAAAAACAAACATTGAATAGAAATTCACAAACCTGCGGAAAAATGCAAGTTTTTTCACTTTGATTATTTTGACGAGAGCCTGATTCCACCACGCTGTCTCACATATGGTTATAGATAGTTACTTTATATGAATGGCTAATAAAAAAATTACCAATGAACACATGTGAATGGAACTGAGGAAGTTACCTATGGTTACAGATATACAGATAGTTTATATGAATCCCATCTAAAGTTACCCATTAACATAGGTAAATGGAACAGATGAAGTTAAATATGATTACAGATAGTTAAATTATTTGATTGACACATAAGAACTTACCTATGACTATAGATAGTTAGTTTATATGATTGACTCACAAGAAGTTACCTATGACTATAGATAGTTAGTTTATAGGATTTATACATAAGAAGTTACCTATGACTATAGATAGTTAGTTTATATGATTTACACATAAGAAGTTACCTATGACTATAGATAGATAGTTTATATGATTTACACATAAGAAGTTACCTATGACTATAGATAGTTAGTTTATATGATTTACGCATAAGAAGTTACCTATGACTATAGATAGTTAGTTTATTTGATTGACTCATAAGAAGTTACCTATGACTATAGATAATTAGTTTATTTGATTGACTCATAAGAACTTCCCTATGACAATAGATAGTTAGTTTAGATATACAACACACACAAGAAGTTACTGTACCTATGAACACGGATAAGTAGGAGAGGCCTGCTCCGAGGTTCTTCACCATACAGCTTCCGTTGTAGAGAGACAGGCAGAAACATTGGAGGATAAAGAAGGAGAGGACAACCGCCCCTGTACTCATACCGAAGATGATGATGAAGACCACTGAAGAATTTCAAGACGGGAATGTGTGTGTGTGTGTGTGT